TCCTGGGTAAAACTGCAGTAACTAACTCCACAGCCAGAAAGGAGCGATGGAGTGTGTCTTCCTGCTTGGAATCGCTATCTTCCCTGAGTCTCAGAAAGCCCATTCCCTGTGAACAATAACATCCCTTGATGTGGGGCTTAACAGCCAGTCAGGATGGCTCTACACAGGCTGATAGGCAAGCCACTTTATCAGCTGGTGCCTCAGTTTCCTCATCTGCCAAGAGAGAATAATGATGAAACCTTTCTCCTAGGACTATTATGAGAACTTCATACATCAGTTTATCTAGGGCTCCCAGATCAGTGTCTGGCTTCTAATGTTGCTGCTACAGTTGTTAGAGTCTTAGATTCCTCTGAATCTGACCTTGATTTTTACAACACTGGTTCGTGCTATTCCAAATTTATTTCCTAGTAAAGGCAACTGAGACTCCAAAATGTGAAATCATAGAAGCTTTATTATTGAAGGCCTGCCATATGCCAAGCATAGGCTAAGCACTTGCCATGTGTCTGTTCCTTTGGGTTCTCAGCATTCCTTTTGGATAGATTACAGTGTCACCATCATCCACAATTTACAGATAAGGAGACCCAGCCTCAGGAGGGCTGATGTGCAAGTGAGTTCCCTGGGGACTCTTGTTTAAAATGCAGATTCCCTTCTAGTGGGCCTGAAGCAGAGCCCAAGAGTCTTTTTAAAGACACTCTAGAGTGATGCTGATGATGCTGGCCCAGGGACCAGACAGGAGTTGAGTAGGACCAATTAACATGCCTCCAGTTAGAACTGGGGTAGGATTGGAACTCAAGTACTTAAGCCCTACATGCCCTGTTTCCATCCTGTGATGAAACCACTCATATGTTTCATCCACAGGTGACATTACTGTCTTAACTCTGTAATCGGCTTCTAGGGCTTTCAGTTCTGAGTTTGCCTGTCAGTGTCATGGAGGTGACTGTAATTTATAATCTCCACTCCTTTCAACAACTTTCTAAATAAGAGTTCTGAGTCCATTTTGTAGATGGGCAAGTTGAGTGACCTGTCCCAGTTATTACCTGGTAAGGACAAGGTCAAGTTTGACCCAGGTTCTCATGACTCCGAAGGCTCTGATCTGTGAGTACATGGTGCTTCCTCCCAGACACTGCAAAGGACTGTTAGAAATTCCCACTTATCATTCTTATCACCAGCTTCCTTTTTAAGTAGTTAAAATCAACAAGCTGATTCTTCCTTTTTCAACAGGTGAGGTCATTATTCACAGTGGCCCTGGGGTTAATCCTTTTTTTATGGTGGCAAAATATTTGTAATGTAACCTAAAACCTACAGTACTTGGGGTACTTGGATGTCTAGCACAGAGGCAGGGGGCATCCTCAGTGTTATGGAAACATCCCAGTACCCATCCATAGACCTCTCTCCCCTTTCACACCTGGATTTTTCTTCATGCCCATTGAGTTCTTGCCTCCCAGCCCCAGCCCCTGGCAACCACCACCACTCTACTCTGTCTATATGAATTTGTCTACTCTAGGGACTGCATATAAATAGAATCAGGCAATGAGTGTCTTTTTGTGCCTGGCTTATTTCACTTTGCACGTGTCTTCAGGGTTCACCTGCGTTGAAGAGGGGTTAATCCCTCTGACATGTAAGTGAACACTTCCTAATTTATCTTTTTAACTCTCATTTTTACTTAGCAGGGCACACATCTAGGATTGGTCCAGATTAAAGACATGAGTCTTGCCTTCTCTGATGCCTTTTCAGAGCCAAGGCTGAACTGCAGAGCTCAGTGTAGGGATGGAGTGTGATCTTGATCCAACATGAGGCAGGACTGGACAGTTCAGCACCAGCCAAAACCAGCAGCGAGGTCCCTTTCTCCAAAGCTTTAACAGTGTGTCAGCAAAGAGCTACTCTAAAATCAAAGCTGGAGGATCACCTGGAAACACAGCCAATGCTCTGTTATAGAGAGACTGGACAGCTGGGGAGACCCTGGGTGTTGGGCTTTTCTTCATGATCTTCAGGACAACTTAGGACCTTGAACCTTCAGTAACTTCATTTCCAGAGCAGAATACAGGATTGCCATTATTCAGGTCTCTTTCATATGGAGATCAATTCTAAGATGTGATGGTTTTTTTTGGCTGTTTAAATTTGACATTTCACACATTATATATATATATATATATATATATATATATACACATATATATATACTGAGGCCCAGGCCTCACTTCCAAAGACTCTGGTTCAGTCTTCTCTAGAGAAAATCCTGGGTGTTACAATTTTTTTATATCTCTGTGGGTGACATTGAGAAGTGGGGGTTGGAAGGACAGGCTAAAGAGACAACAGGCCTTCTTAGGAATCATGCTTGAGGTCCAATATGGAAAATGTCTCTTTATCTCTGGGCTGGTTCTTGGGAGAAAGCTCCCTCCAGGAAAGTCAGCCAGGGGTGTAGCCATGGTAACTAAATCTGATCATCATCCTCCTCCTGGCATGCCTGCAACCCACACTGGTGCTTTCCAGATCCAGAGCTGAGAAGCACCCAGCGGCAGCACTCACCAGGCTGTGTTGAGCCTGCAGCTCAATCTCCAACGTGTTGACTGTTCGTCTCAGATCGATGATGTCAGACTGGTAGCTCTGAAGCTGCTCAGAGCTTGTGGCCACCTGCTTGTTAAGCTCCTCCATCTGTGGTGGGGAAAAGAAGAAAGCTGGGGGTCCTTTCACGGGGACTCTGAAGAGCCCAGCTTCCTGGGAGAGACATGCCCACCTGCGTGTTGAACCATTCCTCCACATCCCTGTGGTTGGTCGCCACCACGGTCTCATACTGACATCTCATCTCCTCCAGCATCTTGGTCAGGTCCACAGGGGGCGCAGCATCCACCTCAATGTTAAGGCGGTCGCCAAGCTGTTGTCGAAGGACTCCGACTTCCTGAGAAAGCACAAGACCCCAGGCAAGTATGAAAAATCACATAAGGTGTAACAGAGATGCTAAAGATGTCATCATTGAAGGGGCCCATCAAGGACCGAAGGACACTTTATAGAATCTCAGTGGTCCAGTTGAACACCCCTTATAACACCTGTCATTTGGCCAGAAGCCAAGTACAGTGGTAGGGTTTCTTTGATCCATTTTGGACTAAAATGGGAAACCTATCACACACACACACACACACACACACACACACACACACACACACACTCATTTCTCATCACGCCACCAGCCCTGTTTGTCTAGGAAGGAGGACCACAGAACCTGGCTTTTCTTGGTTCAAGTCCCAAATTAAAAGAGGCACTTCCAAGGCTTGCCTGCCAAAGAGAGAAAGTTGTCACTGAAGCTGCCCCAGTGTGTGATAATGCCTCATTAGTGACTTGTTGGTGCTGTTCCCAGCTCTCTAATTTAAGAGGGCTGAGTCAGGTGCCCTAGAGCACTCAGTGAATGCATGGTGAAGGATTGTTACTTTACATTAAAGCTAAGGAATCCCAGCCAGGATCCAGAGACACTTGTTCATTCAAATCCCAAGTGAAAAGTTTGAAAGTCAGCCTAGGGAAGGAGGACCAAAGTACTCTGGAGCGAGTGGTCTTTGAAGCACAGGGGGTCCTGTGAAAAATGAGGAAGGAACTGGTATTTGTGGCTTAAACTTATGTATCTTATATGCAAACAGAAGAGATAAAGGGGGGATGGAAAAGAGAAGGAAATCGATCACTGGGGTTGAGCTCTCCCTCAGAAGAGGAGAGTCTCCCCCATTAGGCAGCCTGGCAGAGGCAGGCAAGCTATTCTATGTAAGTTCTGGAATATAAACATCCCCAGGACACACTGTACCACTCTCGTCTAAAAGACACATGCAGCCCCCATGGGTGAGATTTGGCAGTCACTCTGGTCCAGGAAGTACAGAAAAAAGAGATAGTTTTCTGAGCACCTAACAAGAGGTCGGTGTTTCATGCCCAGGACCTGGGTCATATCCATGATCCATGTCATATCTTTAAACTTCCCAATAACCCTGCCTAATAGTTAGCTCTGTTTTACAGGTGACGGGGCTCCAAAAGCTTACGTGAGTCAGGTAAAGTCGCAGAAGCAATATGTGGCCCACCTGGTAATTTCAATCCACACCTATCCAACCCCAAACCCTGTGTTCTTCCTAATCTGCTCCCCAGGCCCACCTCAGCTTGACTTCTGATCTCACCTCTTCATGGTTCCTCTTGAGGCAGAGCAGTTCCTCCTTCAGGGACTCCACCTGAGCTTCCAAGTCAGCTTTGTTCAGGGTCAGCTCATCCAGGATCCTGCGCAGGCCATTGGTGTCTGCCTCTACCAGCTGCCTCAGGGCCAGCTCCGTCTCATACCTGCAAAAGGTCAGGATCAGAAACTGAGGGGTAGAACCATATACCAAACTCAGGGAAGGCCTTGAACTGCTAGCACTGTCTGATCTTATGTGAAACTAATAAAAAGCCAGCCCAAGAGTATATGAGGAGAGAGGGTCCCCTGACCCCCAACCCCCTGCCAAACTCACTTGGTCCTGAAGTCATCCGCAGCCAGCTTGGCATTGTCTATGTGCACAATCATCCTGGCGTTCTCCGCTTTGGTACACAGTACCTGTCAGCCAAGGCACATAGAGGGGTCAGTACAGGATGAAAAGAAAGAAAAAGAACACAGTAAAGTTGCCCTAGTTTCATGTTTGTTAATGGGACAAAATACTCTGACAAAAAGCAGCCTAGGGTGCTTGGCATACCATTACAGTTATAGTCCATCACTGGTGAGCAGTCACAGCAGAAACTTCTAACAGCTGATCACATCACATCCACAGTCAAGAGCAAAGGGACATAAACACATGCCTTCTTGCCTGCAGGTGGTCACCTTAATCCCTCTACTATTATAAAGTTCAGGACCCCCTGCCTAGGGAATAGCACCACCCACAGCAGGGTGGGTCTTCCCACATCAATTAAACATAGATAGTCCCAGTGAAGAATTGTCTATACTGGGTTAGCCTATGACCACATCTGTGGGGAAGTGTCTTGACTGAGATCTTCCAAATGCCCCATTATGGAGGCCATGGGTAATATGGAAAGAAAGAACCCCATTCTGCCTGAAGTCATTCCTGTGACAGTTAAAAGGGTCCTTGACATTTACTGAAAGTTCAACAGATGCAGAGGCTGTTCCAAACACTTGACCTATGTTGTCTCATTGAATCCTCTTTAGTACTGCATTAAATATGGACAGTTACTCTCCCCATTCTACACATGAGAAAACTGAGGCCTGAAGAAGGGAAAGGGGCTTCCCAAAGTCATTGCAACGAGTCAATGATAGACCTATCCCAGAGCTCTTCCTGCATTACGGGCTCTGGCTGAGTGCTCAAATCAGGAGATAATCCTGTGCCCTAGGGAGGTTTCTTTTCTCTGAGCATAGCTGAATACATGAATGAGATACAAATCTAGAGTACTGACTCTTCTGGATGCTTCTCCAAGCTAGTCTGTTCACTGCCCACACTCACCTTCTGCTGGAGCTCCTCGATGGTCTGGAAGTAGGACTGGTAGTCAGGATACATGGTTAGCACCTGGGCCTGGCTGGCCTCTTGGATCTTGCCCTCCAGCTCTGCGTTCTCCCTCTCCAGCTGCCGCACCTTCTCCAGGTAGCTGGCCAGACGGTCATTCAGGAACTGCATGGTCTCCTTCTCGTTGCCATTGAAGGAGCCCTCGCTGCCACTGAAGAACCAGCTGTAGGTACCCATGGAGCTGGGGATGGAACTGGCCGGCCGGCGGTTGCTGGGCTGGCAAGAGCTGGACAGGTAGGTCTTGGAGAGGCAGCTGGCTGGCCGGTAAGTGGTAGGCATGCAGATGGAAGGCATGCACTGCATGGGCTGGCAGACATAACCTAGGCACAGCTCGGACCGGCTACCCATGTTACTGGAACAGATGGAGGAGGACTGGGGACAGCTCTAGAAAGATGCTGGCAATGTGTTGGTGACACAGCAGCTAGATGTCATGCTAGGGAGGCCCTTTCTCCCCAGCAGCTCCCTGGATGTCCACAGACTCCATCCTGCCCAGGCCTTTTTATACTCTTGGAGTGAGGGGACTCACACTGGAAAGTCATGGCGGGGAGTGGGAGTGTTGATGTTTACCCTTAGCCCCAGAGGAAGCTGCTAATTAATTTGTGATTTGGTTTCCAATAAAAAGTTCCTTTCCTCATAAAAGAGGCCAAACTTATCATTTGGCTAAAGCAGGACTCTAGGCTCCTGTCATGGGTCACTGGGACAGAGTATCAGGACACATCTTCAAAGGCCAGCTCCATACCTGGGCCCTCATTACCAGGGTGTGGCTGCAATTACTGTCGCAGCATGCTCTGCACTGCTATTGACCTTGCCCACTGTGCCCCCACCTGCACCTGCCCTGGGAAGGCTGAAAGCCTGCAGAGAGGCAGATACCCCTTTAATGAAAGCATTCCATGTGGGGAGAGTCCTGGCCCCTTAACAAGGAAACGTGTGGGTGGCAGAAGCTGACCTAGTACTGGAGGTGGCATAAATCTGGGAGATAGGAAAGAGCCCAGATGCTTCAGAGCATGCATCCTCCCACACAGGGCTTGAAAGAAATGGTATCATAGAGGAGAGAAGGAACTTAAGACACAAACCTCTAAGAAGCTGGGACCTCTTTTCCATTGGATACAATTGAGAAAATGAAAGGTGCGGCCCTTCCCCTTGGAAAAGCAGTTCATCATCACGAACAGGTCAAGGAGATAGATGTTCTGTGGGCTCTCCACTCAGCGAGCACTGCACCATGGAGGGTTCAACAACGGTCTGTTAAGTCTGGTGCTAAACAGGCTAGAAATGGCTCTACTTTTACTTTGTGTAGTTGGTGAACAGAAAGGGCTGTTGGGACCCCAGCGAGAGGAAACCCTGTGAATCAGGTCTTTGCAAAAGAAAGCACTACGGCACCAGGTTGAGCTAAGCAAGAGACAGGTGTCCTTTGTTATAAAAGCTTGGGCATTCCCCTAAAGCAACAAGCTGAACTAGTGTTTTTCAGCCTTGGCTACGAAAGTCATGGACTGACACGCTGCATGTTTTCATTCACTCCTGTATTAGTTACTTTTCTTGTATAACAAAATACCCAACAAAAGCAAATTGAGGAAAGGAGGGCTTGTTTTGGCTCATCGTTTGAAGGAAGACAGTTCATCGTGGTAAGGAAGGAATGGAGGCAGGAGCGGGAGGCAACTGGTCACATATCTGCAGTCAGGAATCAGCTGGTGCTGATCCTGCTGGTGCTCAGCTCACTTTGTCCGTTTTATTCAGACCAGGACCCCAGTCCATGGAATCGTGCCATGTATATTCAGGGTGGGTCTTCCCTCCTCAGTTAAACTTCTCTAGAAACACCCTCATAAATTAAACCTAGAGGTGTCTCTCCTGTGGGATTCTAAATCCCATCAAGGTGACAAGATTAGCTGTCACTGTCTTCTCAATATAATAGTGGGATATAAGTTCTTGTCTTAACCTTTCCTGTGCTCACAGGAGTGTTGGTAAAGAAGCAAAAAAGGGCAAATGCCATCCAGCCATAGAGATGCTGCTGCCTTTTAACTTGTGCTGTGCCTATGAAAAGTCACTCTATCCCTCTGAGCCTCAGTTTCTTCACGAAAATTGAAAAGATTTTATTAAATGATCTCTCAAGGGCTGAAGATATAGCTCAGTGATACAGTGCATGCATGGCATGTGTGAGACCCTGGGTTCAATCCCCATACCCATTAAAAACTCTCTCTCAGTTTGATCCCCTGGAATAACCATAATTCCAGGTATTTTGCCTGAATAGACAGTTCAGAGAAGATGGAGGTGTCAAATTGAAGGATGCATGATAGCAAAGTCTGGGATAAGACGCCTCAGCTCCCCTCCACAATCATAGCCTGCACCTACGGGAGGCACTCGAGTGCCAGGCATTGCCCTGGGTTCTTAGCGTTAGCTTACCTATTTCATCTCTATATTCATTATTTTCTTGTTTTGACAAAATACCCTGACGAAAGCAACTTAAGGAAGCAAGAATTTATTTTGGCCCATAGTTCAGAGATATAGTCCATCATGGTAGGGGAGGCCTGGCAGCAGGATCTCAAGGTAGCTGATCACGTTGCAGCCATAGTTAGGAAGCTCAGAGAGATGGATGCTGATGCTCAGCTCATTTCTTTTTATTCAGTTTGGGACCCCAGCACGTGGAATGGTGCTGCCTACAGTTAAGGTGGGTCTTCCCATCTGATTTACCCCTCTCTAGACACTTCACAGACAGAGGCTTGTCTCCTGGGTAACTCTAGATCCTGTTGAGTTGACAATCTATATCAACCATCACAATTTCTCCTCAAAGAAAATACGTATGATAAACATCATTGTGATAAAGAGTAGCAGAGTCCCCAGTCCAAGGGCACCAGCATCACATAGGAACATATTAGCAGTATAGGTTTCCGGGCCCACCAGAACAACATCAGAAACTCTGAGAGTAGGCTCCAACAATTTGTATGTAGCAACCTCTGCACATAGCTCTGAAAACGACCGAGGTTGACAAGCAGAGGTTAATTTTTAACAGTAGCTGCTAGAACTCTCCTTGTAGAAGAAAATGATCTTTCCTTGAAAAACAATACATTAAAAATAATTATTAAAGTCAGGTATGGTGGCACCTGTCTTTTAATCCCAGCACTCAGGAGGCAGAGGCAGGTGAATCTCTGTGAGATTGTGGCCAGCTTGGTCTACATAGTGAGTTCTGGGCCAGCTGGGACTACAGGGAGACCCTAAATAAATAATTCTTGGAGTAAGAGGTAGGATAAGTAATTTGACTGGTGAAACATCAGAGGGAGAAAGGGGGAAAGAATTTAATGTTCCCACAGGTAATCATGAAAGAAAGAAATGAGAAAGGGGAGAAGACAGGAGCTAAGCCTAGAGAGACTCACAGAAAGATGGTACAAGAATGCCACTGTGCGACCCCAAGGTCTCCGAGAAATCTTCAGCAAAGCCCACTAAGTTCAAATGTCATGCATGATTCCTGTAATCCAGCACTCTGGAAGCAGAGACAGGAGGATCATGAATTCAAAACCAGCCTAAGCTATATAGCAAATTTTGTTTGAGGCCAGCCTAGGCTACATTGTGAGACCTTGTATTAACTTTTTTTTTTAAGTTTGACATGAGCAATATTTTACAATATAAAGAAAGGACCAGGTTACCCATGAGAGTGGCTAATGAAAGCAAGCAGGCAGTATTCAAGGCTGATATAACAGATCTAGGATGCATCTCTCAGGCTTTGTGGGCTAGGAAAGATAATCTCAGAGCAAGTAGGGCACAAGTTTCAGACCAGGGTCCATCTAGTCCCAACTCTGTTGCTCTAGTCCAACTTCTCAGTGACCAAAGAGAATTATTGGCCGGTGAGTTCAGAGAGAAAAGGGAAAGTGAAGACTGAACAATGGGAGAAACAGGAAGAAATACTGGGGAGACCTTGGGGCCGGGAGGTCCAGGATGGAGGACCTATTTAAACAGCCTCAGAGAAGACGTCTACCAGGGCCTGGCCAGAGACTCCCTCCCTCCTGCAGAAAATCAGAGGCTGCTTTCAGAAAAAGGAAAATCCCTAGAAAGAAAGACGAAATCTGAACTTGGGCAGTTGTCCCATGCAAAATCCCAGGGCAACCACTCACGCATATGCATAGCACTTTCTATCTGCTTTTTAGCATCTCATTATTTAATATAGAAAGAAAGAGCACTAGATATGTGAAGGAAGCTTCCAAGATTAAAAACAGAGACAGAACAAAATAAGCAAACCCAAAAAAAAGGTAAAAGAAGGAAATTGGAGAAGAAGTAATGTAAATATCCAGATATGTGGTGTGTGTCTATTATATACATATATATATATATATATATATATATCTTTGGATATTGATATGCTATGCATAGGTTTGGATATATGTATATATGTTTCAAAATAATAATCTCAGAGATAAATACAGCAGTTGCATCCATGAAACGAGAACTGAATACTCTAAAAAAGAGATGGAGAACAAGAAATTACTGAGGAGATAAAAATATAACTGAAATTAAAACTTAAATTCAGCTGGGTGTGGGGGTGCACACCTTTGATCCCAGCATTGGGGAGGCAGAGGCAGGCAAATCCCTGTAAGTTTAAGGCCAACCTGATCTATGTAGTGAGTTCCAGGCCAGCCAGGGCTACATAGGAAGACCCTATCTCAAAAAAAAAAAAAAAATCAATGCAAATGTCTGAAATTAAAGGAATGAGAAAAGGTAGAGCTGAGGCATAGTGAAAACTACGCAAATAAAACACGTACTAATTAGAGGCAGGGCTGCATGTGATCCGGCTGGCTCCGTCTGAGAGGGAGTTAAAACAGTTTAGAAGGTGCTTTGATAGCAAGGATACCACTAAGAAGAGTGTGGTGACACAAAACAGGCTTCTCTAGAGCTGGCACTCGAGAGCAAATTGTACTGACTATGACCACCCCATGACTGTCAGAGTTGAAACTAGATGCTAAATCACGCAGCTTCCTACTTACTTTGACTGGCATTGCTGCCTGGAAGGAAATCTCAAAAATGAAATCCCAGGCAGGAAAAAAGTAGATGTTCTCTCAGAGCATCCAACCAGAAGAAAGAGTCCATCTTGGCCAGTTTCTAAAATTCCATTGTGTACTTAGTAAAGTACTAGGGACAGCATTCTAACTGTCACCTGCTCTATTTTTCTCAGGAGGAAACAGACTCAGAAAGGGACTGTGACTAGTCAACACTCTAACACAGTACTTGGACTGGGATTTGAACCCAGGTCCCTCTGTCTTTATGTCCTAAGCCTGTGTCCCTTGCATTCATGGCGTAGCCTCCTCCTACCATTGAAGTCAAAAAAGAACAGAAGTAGTATGGATGTCCTTCCGTCCCATCCCAAGGCCTCTTTCTCATGCAGACCAGCTTTGCCCCTGGTACCTAACACTCTCCCTGGCACATAATAGTGCTCAGTAAGGATTTGTTGAATATAGTGAATGAGGCAAGTGCCTGAGCCTCAGCAAAATCAGCTACCGTATTCCAAGAGGACTGAAGCTGGGTGGAACAGGGGAGCTGGCAGAGACCAAAGGCCCAGGCCCTCCTGTACAGGGAGCTGAAAGAGGAGATTCTCTAGCAGAATTAGTGAGGTATTCCAATACCCTGAAGGGACAGGTCTCAGACCTGCATCAATCCAGCACCTTCCACCTATCTGCTCTTCCCCGAGGCATTGAGATAGCCCTTTTAACATTGCTTAGGTCCCTTAGCAAGTGACTTGGGCATCCTTGAAGAGCATCTGTTTCTCTGGAGACAACCTGCACACTTGTCTAGCTTGTCCCTTTCCCATTGGGACTGGGAGAAGTTGGTGCTTGCTCAGTCTGTTCGGGGATGATATTCTGAACACAAATGATCGGCTTTGAGCCAAGATGCTTGGAGGTCATGCATCTGTGTCTTGACATCTCTTCAAATGCCAAGAGCACACAAAAGCATGCCGTGACTTCCTAAGGCAAGAGCCTCATGAAAGTCCCAATGTCAAACTCAGTCTGTCACCCACAAGTAACAGGACAAGCATTGTTTTTTTAATATTTTATTTATTATTTTATGTGTATGAGTGTATCACCTGCATGTATATAAGTATTCCCATGTCATGAAATGCCCTCGGAGGTCAGAGAGGGGGTCATATTCCCCTAGGACTGAAGTTACTGATGGTTGTTAGCTGCCGTGTGGGTGCTGGGAATCAAACCCGGCTCCACTGCAAGAGCACTGGCTTCCCAGGATATGCATTGTTAAGGAGGGTTCCTGAACTGGAAGGGTTTTATGAATGGGCTGGAAGAGATGAGGGGAATTGATGTGAATGTACCCTAAGACTACCTTGATGTGGGGCACACATCACGTCTCTTTGAAGACCACACGCATGAGGCTAATAAAGTGGCCCCAGTGCTTCCTATTACACTGACCTTCATTTTGTCAGTCCTGTGCTGAGATCCCAAGGGTGGCCATGTATACCAAGAAAGAAACTAGGCGAGCACTGATAACACCCATCACCACACTGGGACATTGCAGAAAGGTCTTCATTGGGGAAGCCAAGTAGAAAGCCTCACTGTGGAGATACGTCAGTCAGCAAAGTGCTTGTTGGGCAAACACAGGGGCCTGAGTTCAATGCCCAGAAGCCATGTTAAAAAGGTTGGACATGTGACACATGCTTGTATTCCCAGAGCTTGGGAGGGAGAGACAGGCAGTTCCCTGGGGCTCACTGGTCAACTAGTCTAACCTACTTGGCAAGTTCCAGGGCAATGTGAAACCATGCCTAAAAAGGGGGGGGGGTGGAGTGCAGTGGACGATGCCTGAGGAACACCCAAGGCTATCCCCTAGCTGCTACACACATGCACGCATGTGCACATACGTGCACACACGTGCACAGGTTCAAAAACGCCTCAATGCAGGCCTCTCACCACCCCAGTGAGGAACACAAGGACCCTGTCATCCCCAGGGTCACCCTTGGTCAAGCATCCCCCATTCATGTGCCCAACAAACACCTCCTGAACCCAACATGGACACAAACCAATACAAGATTATGTGAGCCAAAGTAAATGGCTTTATTGTCCCATCCACAGATGCCCTGTATTGAATTTCAGAACCTACTGGAACATACTCAGAAAGAAAGCCTGACCTAGAAGCAGGCCCAGAAAACAGACCCTGGCGCCCATTGAAATGGTGAGGAGTCAAGGTCTGCTGAGCAACCAGCCTTAGTGACAGACTCCAAGAAACTGTAAGGCATATATTTGCAAGGAGATCTCTCCAGACCTGGGCCTGGACCCAACATAGGCAGAGGGGTTGGGCTATAAGAGTTAGGGTTGACTAGAACCCAGGTCAGAGCCCTGGAGGCAATGCCCTCTGGATCTGTTGCTCTTAGAACCGGCCCCCCGGGCAGGGTACACAGACAGGACGGGGGCTGCAGGTTGTACGGGCTGCACCAGCACAAGAGGCTGCAGGAAGGCAGGGGAGGCAGGACTTGGAGGGTGAGTAGTCAGGGGCACATGGATTGCAGGGAAGCCTAGGAGACAGAAAAGAATCACGTTACTCTCATTTTCTAGTTGCTGTTTTCAACGACTGTGAGCAGATCCCAGAACATGCAAACAGGAAGGCCTTTCAAATCCTCTAATCTGCCCCTTGTTTTGATCCTAAGGGGAAACAGGTACCAGAGAGGAAATGAGACCAGCTTCAGCAACCGAATAAGTTTATACCAAGACCCAAGCTAAAACTTCAAGACTCCCGACTTAAGGTACCAGGCTCTTTTTAGGCACCACATGGTCTCCCTGAAAATTTGGAGACTGTATTCAGAAGAGGACAGAGCAAGAAGTCAAACTCACTTGCAGTCCTCGCTCTCCAGCAGCCCCCGGTATGTGTTGATCTCACACTCCAGCCGAGCCCGGACATCCAACAGGACCTGGTACTCCTGGTTCTGACGCTCTAGATCAGCCCGGATCTCACCCAGCTGAGACTCCACGTTACCGATCATGCATTGCATCTGGGACAGCTGGGAACTGTAACGGGCTTCTGTCTCTGCCAGGGTGGAGTCCAGAGCATCTCTCTGGGAGGGCAAAGGTCGTGGAAGGAGAAAGGTTTAGAGGTCAGAGAAAGAGCAAGGTCGATCCATCTGGGTCTCAGTGGGATTTCAGAATACAAGAATGGAAGCTCCGAGAGTCACTGAGCTAAGAAAAAACACAGCTAGACATCTCACTGAAGATGAGCCAGCGAGTCCCTGTAGACCCCTGAATCCAGAGAGCATCTCCCTACTAATGGCACCTCTGAGTAGCTTATAAGTACACAGAAGGTTGAGTCTTCTTTCACAAATAGAGGTGTTACTAAAGGCCCTATGTCCCTCGCCGCTGGAGCAGTTGTGATTTGGGTTTGGCCTTTGTTCCCTCTTCCCTGAACAGAGAAGCCCTGATGCTCAAGAACTTGAACCCTTGGAACAGCATATATGGCCAAAGCACAGAGCGGGGCGGGGCGGGATGCATCCAGGCTTGGTCCAGCAGCCCCTCCACCCCACCTCCGAGCTCACCATGCTCTGCTGGGCCTGCAGCTCAATCTCCAGGGAGTTGACAGTGCGTCTCAACTCGATCATGTCTGCCTGGCAGGACTGCAGCTGCTCTGAGCTGGACACCACCTGCTGGTTCAGCTCCTCTGTCTGAAACAGACACAGGATCTGGTCAGGAACCCTGGGGATTTGGCTTCAAAGGTCTACAGAGGTCAGTGAGGATCAAGGGTCAAGAAGAACCTTCCAGACTACCCAGTCCAATCCATTCATTCCATACTTGTTGAAAACAGGAACCTGGCCAAGGTGCTACAATGGAGTCAAGCCAGAAGTGAGACTCTCCAACTCTAGCTTCTGGTTCAGAGCCCCTGGGCCACTTCCACGTGACTTCACATGTGCCTCTGTCACACTGTTGACCTACCTGAGTGTCATACCAGTCTTCTGCATCTCTGCGGTTATTCTCCACCAGAGTCTCATACTGGCACCTCATCTCGTCCAGAACACGATTGAGATCCACAGGTGGAGCAGCATCCACCTCCACATTGAGCCGGTCGCCCAGCTGGCAGCGCAGTGAGTTCACTTCCTGTAGCACAGATGAAGGTCAGTGCTAAATTTTCCAGCTCACCTCTTCCCGTGCTCACCTGCTCCCTGTGCTCACCTGATCTCCTGTGCTCACTCTTCCTCCTGCTGACCTGCTCCTCCCACACTTTTTCCTCCTGCTTACATCTTCCTGTTCTTACATCTGCATGCTCACTTCTCTGTGACCATCTCCCACTATGCTTACCTCTTCCCTGTGCTCACCTGAGTGCTCATACACACCTGCTCCTCATGCTTATCTCTTCCTCCCCTCACCTCTTCCCCTTCCTCACCTGATCCTCCATGGTCACCCCTATCCCACTCTCACTTGCTCCCCATGCTGACATCCTCTTCCCTAACCTCATTTGGTCCCCCATGCTCACCTCCTCCCCATGCTCACCTCCTCCCCACTGCTCTGGCCTCCCCCACGCTCACCTCCTCGTGGTTCTTCTTGAGGCAGAGCAATTCTTCCTTCAAAGACTCCACCTGAGCCTCCAGATCAGCCTTGCACAGAGTCAGATCATCCAGGATCCTGCGCAGGCCATTGATGTCAGCCTCCACCAGCTGCCGCAGGGACACCTCTGTCTCATACCTGTAGGCACAGAGCAAAGCACCTGCAGCTGGAATTCTTTCAGTATCTAAGTCAGGTCCCACTCCAGACTGTCCTGGTTCTGCGAGCCTTGCCCTTGTGCCACAGTGACTGGACGCAGCTGAAACCCAGAGCCCAACCATCCCCAGTATCCAGCTCTACCCACCCCAGGGACAAGCTGGACCACTCACTTGGTCCTGAAGTCATCTGCAGCCAGCTTGGCATTGTCAATCTGCACCACCAGCCTGGCATTTTCTGCCTTGCTGCACAGGGTCTGGGAACATAAAGTAATTTCATATAAGAAAGGCCTGTCTGCTGGTAGGAGCGCCCTCCACCTCTGGCAGGAGCTGCCCCTAGGAGGGAGTTTCCCATCCTGGAATCTCAACAACTTGAGGCACCAGGAGAAGCATGGGTAGCTGCAGGTATCAGACAGGGGATCCCGAGGTCCCATGCAACCTGGTATGCGTGTGACCAGAGAGAAGGGCACAAACATGCTGCAGGAAGTCCTGGCCAGCATAGTGGACTGAAGCTTCTTCCTGCCTTCCTGTCCCCTAGGACTGCTAGAGTCCCAAGGCAAGACACTACCAACAGCTGCCCTCTAGTTCTCTGGTCATAAATGCTGCCTTTCAGGGCCCATCTGAGACTTTGGGGAATGAGGGCTTGGCAAGGAAGAAACTTCTCTGAATTTAAATACATCAAATCCAATCAATTCACCTTTTAAAGTGAAGGCATCAGAACTCAGAGAGAGAGAGAGACATTGCTCACACAGCCAGTTAGTTCATATAGCCTACGTTCAAGTTCTAAGTCTAATTGCCCTGTGAGTCACTTAACTAGCCTGACCCTGAGCATTTCCATCTGTGCAATGGACTAAGGTTATTAGAAAGAGAAAAAAAGAGACCAAAATAGAAATATATTTTCTGCCCTCCAAAACTGCCCTGTAAGAGCGGGACTACCATCCATCACACATGTGGTTTCTAAAGCCAAGGCCCCTCTGAACCATTCACCTTCTTCTGAAGCTCCTCCATGGTCCGGAAGTAAGACTGGTAATCCGGGCACATATAAGGCACCTGTTGCTCACACCATTCCCGGATGCGACTCTCCAGGCTGGCATTCTCCTGCTCCAGCTGTCGCACCTTTTCCAGGTAACTGGCCAGGCGGTCATTCAGGGACTGCATGGTCTCCTTCTCATTGCCAGTGAGGATGCCCTCCCCAAACCAGCCTCCACCCATGCTGAAGCTGGTGGCAAAGCCTCCGTTAGGGAGGCAGAGAGCAGGGAGGCAGCTGGCAACCCTGTAGTTATTTCTGCCCAGCCCGGCAGAATATGCGGAAAAACTCTTGGCCCCTCGGGAACCTCTCGGCAGCTTGCAAGAGCTGCTGGAGTACATCGTGGACACACGAGCAGAGCCTGCTCCAGCCCCACCTGGGCTCTTGAGGGATCCCGAGGAAAAGCTGGCCTTGAGGCATTTGGAAGCCATGGCCACAGCAGCCCAGACACAAGCAGTAGATCTTTGAGAACAGACACCCCAACACAGAGAAGCAGCTACCCGGCCAGGCTTTATACCTCTGCTCCAGTGGGCGTTGGTTGGCCCTTACAAAGTGTTTTCTCCTCATTAAAGTTAATTCCACTTTCTATCAAAACCTCTCATTAACCTGTTATTTAGCTTCCCATGAATATATCCTGGCCTCGTAAAATGGAAGCCCCGTTGGACCGGTGACTGTGTGGAGAGTCACCCCCACCACCCCACATCCCTGGGAAGACCCAGTCTCTGTCAGTTCTTCAAAGGGGCCTGTCATCAGAACCCAGACTTCAGCCTCCTTGTTAAGCAGGCGTGGGAGTCTCCAGCTTTGTCTCCTTTGATGGGCAGGCTTGAGGGGGCAGAGCAAGCCTGACGGTGGCAGGACGGTAGGGGTCTTGTACCCTAGGCAAACATAAAAGGCTCTTGAATAGGCCCAGGTGATGTAACATGGTGACCAATTCTCCCAGTTTCCTCAGATCAGATTTCCATTGTGATTTTTAAATAATACCAGGAACCTTCAGTCCCAGGCAAAGAATAGCTGGTAATCCTCAATCCAACAGAGCCTTGAGAAACACTCCCTACTCCCTTTTAAGGAAATCTGTTCAGCTACATAGGCTCAGCTCTAGGCAAAATGACTAGAAGTCAGTTGTTGGGGCCATGACACCTAGGGCCATGTCTAGGAGGGCATGTCTTCATCAGCCCTGGTAGAAAGTGGAGAAGGCTTTCCTTCTGGTGGGGAGAGGAAGCTGGATGCTTGATTCACAGACCTCTTCAGCAGATGCAAGAGCCTGGTCCTCACAGGCTCATCTCTGCTCTGGAAACAGACTGAGCCAAAGCCTAGAAAGCTGATGAGGCACCTGACCAGTCCAGTCTGAGCAAATGAGAGTGGAATCAGGGCTGGGAAGTAGAGCTCGGGATAGACCTCATCAGATGAGAGACTGAGCGATCTGTCTTCTGAGCTACCCTGCACTTTGGGGGTCCTACTCTTCTAGGACACCCTCTATCTTCCCATTAGGAGAACAAGTTGAGACCAGCGGTGAGCCTGGTATGGTGCTCAGCACTTTCCCACACGTGGTCTCTGCAAGCAAGAGCTTATTGGCCCCTCCCTGTAGCTGAAGAAATCATGGCTTAGGGCTTGTTAGTGCCCCTACCTCATGGATGACCAATCCTGGGATCCTGTCCCAGGAAGCTGCATGAAATGGAGTCTATGGAGAACAGAAAGGAGTGATTGGAGTGGACCCACAAGGTGATGACCACACCCTGAAGTCCTAGGAAAAGCAGCCAAACCTCATGGTTGTATCTGAACTTGTGTGTTCAAATCCCAGCCCCACTGCAAACCATCAAACTTCACTTCCAGTTTCTCTGTGTTTCTTCTTCTAGACCGTGAGGAGAAACAATAGCACCTGCTCCCTGGGTTGCCTTAAGCATTAAATGAGTCTGCCGTATCTTAGATAGCACCTGCTTATGGTAAGGCCTCATAGCAGCAGTTGCTGTGTATACCAGTTCCCATACAAGTGTAGTCTTGCTGAGCTGGGACTGGTAATGCCAAGCAGCTGTCATTAGGGAATAGGGACAGGCTCTAAGCACTACAGGCCACCATCCCATGGGCCAGATGCACAAGTTTGGAACCCTCAGGTAAAGAGGTCCCATGAGTCACTGCGCCCTTTCCACACCCAGGGACCCAGTATGACTAGCACCCACCCAGAATAATCCTAGGGTTCCATTGACTGCCTTGGCCTCTCCTCCCTGGAGCTCCATGCCTCAGTGCAAAATGCAGCTGAGCCTAGAGCCTAGTTGAGCCTCCTGGTGTGTTTGTATTACCCACCCAACCCCCTGCTAAGTCACAGCCCCTACTAGGGATAGGCTCTGAGCTCAGCAGGACTAGCCTAAAGTCACAGGCCCAGAGAAGTCACAACAAGAAGGCTTGGGAAGTCCCAGCACAGCCAGGGGTAGGGGGGCAGGGGAGCATGGCTTCCCCAGCAGGGCTTCACATCTATGCTGCCCAGATAGCTAATAGCAACTTTAAATGCTCTGCCACACTGCCCTATTAATAACAAGGTCAGTGGGACCCATCCTCTACTGAGTACTAAGTACCTTCCAGAACCCTGTTCAGTTTTTCTACACACTCTCCCAGTCCTCAAGACAATGTCATGAGATCAGTATCATCAACCCCATTGAATAGATGAGTAAACTTAGCCTTGGGATGTTTTAGGAGGAAAAGAATTGGCAAAACTAGCATTTTGTTCAAGGTGTGCTATCCCTTTAAAAATCCCATATACACCTCACAACATAGGCTCCACAGGGAGATTCCAGCCCTCAGACCTACCCTACTGTCTCTGGGAGCCCAGACCCCCCAGCCATTCCCTCTACTTAGAACTCAGCCCCCTCTCCAGCCCTACTGTGCCTGACTAACACTTAGTGTTCACAACAGTGACTGGTGGAGAATCCCTTGGTCTTCTATGAACTGCTGTCCTCTGTCTGGTGTTTCAGCCCCACCTTCCCAAGGGACTGGGAAAGGACTACCCTGGAGCCTAACCACCTACTTCTTGAAACCCCTGCAGTGTCAGACACAGTGCTAAGCTTCTAGATATCTCAGAGGGAGAGCGTGAGTGAGTGCGTGAGTGTATGATTTGCTCATGGCAAATTGCGTTCCATAAGGAAATAAAGGGTGTTGAGGAGTGGAGAGGATAGAAAGGGAAGAAGGAAGGAAAGAAAACGGAATGGGGAGAAGAGAGGAAGGTGTCTTTCTGCTATTAGTTCCCTTCTCACAAATAAGGAAGCAGGAGTTCCAGGACAGGAATCAGCAGCACCTGCCCAAACAAGCCAGGTCCTCCAGCAGAGAACAAAAGCCATCTGCTCCAGGCCCCACGAGCCAACTCAGCACTAAAGGCGTGGCCATAAAATCCTGATAAGATGTTTCTAGATAATCTGAGTTTTTTTTTTTAAACAGATAAGTAATTTTTTAATGCTATGGAGTATCTATCCTACAAGCTATTATTGTAAGCTGTTACGGTCAGCTTGTATTCTTATGAGGTCAGTTTCCTTTCTCTCTTTTAATTCTTTAAAAAATAAATTAGTTACCTAGAGCCCCTTATCAGCAAGAACTGACATTGGTTAACAAGTGTCCTAATAACTTTCCCCTCAAGTCTTTGCACTCAGCACAGATGGGCTCCCTACTGTCCCTAGAACACAATGTGAACACATTCAGCCTTGTCCTAAAATGCCCTCTACCTTCTTTCCTCCTTTCTCTACCCATCTTTGAAGGTTTCTATCAAATTCAAATCTTCCCTAAAGCCTTCGCCGGTCACCCCAACTCTCACAATCTTTCCCTATCCTCAGACCCTGAAATCCTGACCCACTCTGGCTCCTGCTATCCCTGGAGCTGATCCTGGGAGTGAGGGAAGAGGATCTGTATGCCTGGATGGTTGCCCCATGGGAACTGTGCCTGTTGTCTACCCTGCTCCTCCCCAAGCGGTCCCCACACCTTACCTTCTAATTCATTCATTGAAGCTTTGGGAATGAGGAAGATGGCCAGACAGTGTATCTAAAAGGTAGAAAAGAAACTGACCACCTTGAAGTCAAGTAGCAGGCCCACTCTGGGAAATTTTAGACAATGTGATGTTCTACATCCTCTCTCTCTCTCTCTCTCTCTCTCTCTCTCTCTCTCTCTCTCTCAATATGGATTGCACACAGAAAAATAGTCCTTTCGGTCTCAGGCCATCTCTCTCTCTCTCTCTCTCTCTCTCTCTCTCTCTCTCAATATGGAGAGAGCAATAGGATATAGGATAAAAGTCAAAAGACCTGAGGAGGCACCCTAGGACTGCCACTTACCGTACAGCATTACATTCCATCTTGCACGTTGGTCAGCAGCCTCGGCTAAGGGCGTGTGAATGAGGCTGAGCATAGAAAGGGGTTCCTTAACTAATGCAAGTGCTCTGAAGAATTTAATAAGAATTGAGGCAACAATGCATAAGCAGATCAAGTGCCCACAGTCACTCAGGGCTGTTTGTGTGTGAGATGAGCCTGTGAGCATCCTCCAAAACTGTAGACCGATCATAAAAGGGAAAACATTGAGACAGGCATGGTGGTATTACACATCTGTAATCCAAGTACTCAGGAGGTTGAGGCAGGGGGAGCAGGAGTTCAAGACTAGCCCTATACAGTGAGACTCTGTTTCAAAAAAGAAAGGAAGGAGGGAGGGAGGGAGGGAGGAGATTTAAAGCTAAAGTGTAAGAATTTTGAATTTTTATGAGTATTAGCTGAGGGAGGACTGTATGGCACAAGGTGTTGCTAGGATGATTACCTATCAGATCATGTGGTCTGTTGCTTCGATGCCTTGTCAGGTCAGTGTGAAATGTTTCCCAAGCAGAAGGCATGACATTCTCTTTGATCCATGACTGTTTCCATGGAGTGTGATGCCCTCCCTGCCTGTGTGGCTTCCCAGCCTACCTAAGCCATGGACCAGAGTCTATAGTGCAGACTTCAGGCCCCAAAACAGGGATAGAACAGAGACCGGGACAGGGCAGGGCAGGGGTAGGAATCATGTGGACCTGCCCTCTGCCCAAAAGTGGGTCCTCTGAAACCAAGCCATAGGTTTCACTGTCTAACCTCAAGGACCCTGCTGGCAGCACCTCCTACCCCAGAATCCTGATATCTACAAAGCAAAAAGCTTGACCCACCAACAGACTTTTCTGGTTCCCATTCAGCCCAAAGACTTTATTTTTATCAACACCAACTCTGATAAGTACCACATTTTGAGTGTTGGGCACACACTATTCCATCAGGACTCCCAGAAGCTCCAATTCACAGATGGAATTGCTGAGACTAAAGTGTGCCTGGACACACTGCAGAGCAGCCCCAGCCAAGACTGTTCCACCTGTATGCATCTCCTCCTGAGGCCTGTGGTGCTTTGGCTACGCCTCTGGCTTATCCAACCTGAAGTTAAGGGTTTGTGTTTGGCTTGGTCACCATATGTGGTGGCACAGACAGATCTGGGTCTTCTCAATTAAGAGCCCCAAAGCAAAGGCAGACAAGCTGGGTAACAGCCAGGTCTCAGTCACTCACAGTGGTATGGTGTTGGGTAAGTCACTGCCCTTTCTGGGTCTGTGTTCTGAACTGCAGAATGAGTCAAGGGATAAAGAAGCCAGCATGGGACCCCCAGACTTCTCACAGGCCCTGCTTCTGTGATCATTAGGGTGTCCAGAACCTGGCCCAGTTAAGCCCCACACCAGATCTGCACAGCTCAGCCAGGAGAGTCTAGGCCCCCGAACTATGGCAGCCTGGTTGTCCACTGTACCGCACTGTCTCTGCCAATCTCCCCTTCCTGTAACCGGAACACAGGAGCTGATGCTGCTTGTCACCACAAAGGCCAATGAGCAGAGACAGGAACTGAAGCTTTACATTGTGCTTCATTCATTGAACTGGCCATCTGAAAGGGCAATGAATTAACATCTTTAAAATAGATCATCTCAGCCAGACGCAGTGGTGCATGTCTTTAATGCCAACACTTGGGAGGAAGAGACAAGTGGATCTCTGTGAGACTGACGCCAGCCTGGTCTACATAATGAGTTCCAGGCCAGCTGGGGCTGCAGGGACCCTATCTCGAAAAGATTTTTTTTTAATGTATATATATATGGGGGGTGGAAAGATGGCTCAGCGGTTAAGAGCACCAGCTGCTCTTGCAGAGGACCCTGGTTCTATTCCCAGCACCCACATGGCGGCTTCAAACCATCCTTAACTCCAATTCCAGGGGAATCCGAAGCCCTCTTCTGACCTCCACGGCATTGCATGACATGGGTGCACTAACACACATGCAGGCAAAACACTCATACACATAAAATAAAAATAATA